TTTCTTGGTGACCCTGGCTAGAGGGTCATCAATCTTGCTTATCCTTTCAAAGAAGCAGCTCTTGGGTTTATTGATCTTTTTTATATATATTTTTGGTCTCTATGTCATTTATTTCCGCTCTGATCTTTATTACAATGAGGCCTTGACTTACGAGTTTAATTCGTTCAGTGATGGAGCTCATAACTCAAATTACTTGTATGTCAAATCATAAAGTGAATGAGTGAGACACGTGATGCTGGGCTGATGTTGTAGCATTCACTGTGACGTTCACTGTGCCAACTAGCAGTGGGGTATCTGAAGATGGCTTGTAACCCAAATTTTAGCTCACAACTCAAAGTAAAAAATCGGCCGAGAGATGGCTCGTATCTTGAAAAACTCATTAGTGGGGACACTCGTAAGTCAAGGCCCCATTGTATTTCCTTCCTTCTGCTTACTTTGGGCTTTTATTGTTGCTCTCTTTCTAATTCTTTAAGTTGTAGGGTTAGATGGTTTATTACCAGTTTTTTTATTTATTATTTATTTATTTTTTTGAGGTAAGCCTGTAGAGCAATGAATTTCCCTCTCAGGACTGCTTTCACTGTGTCCCATAGATTTTGGATGGCTGTGTTTTCATTGTCATTGTTTCCAGGATGTTTTTTTATTTCTTCTTTGATCTCTTTGGTAGCCCAATCATTGTTTAATAGCATGCTATTGAGCCTCCATGTGTTTGATTTTTTTCATTGTTTTTATTGTAGTTGATTTCTAATTTTATGCCATTTTGATCTGAAAAGATGCTTGATATAATGTTTATCTTCTTGAATTTGAAGATTCATTGCCTGTATCCCAATATGTGATCTGTCTTTGAAAATGTCCCATGTGCATTTGAGAAGAATATATGTTCTGTAGCTTTGGGGTGAAATGTTCTGATAATGTCAATTCCATCTGATCTAGTGAGTCATTTAGGATTGCTATTTCTTGTTTAGAGCATTTATCCAGTGGTGTCAATGGGGTATTAAAGTCCCCTACTATGATTGTGTTGCTGTCGATCTCTCCTTTGATATCTTCCAGAAATTTTTTTTATGTATTTGGGTGCTCCTGTATTGGGTGCATATTTGTTTACCAGTTATATCTTTTTGTTGAATTGCTCCGTTTAGCATTATGAAGTGGCCCTCCTTTCTTGTTATGGCCTTCACTTTGAGGTTTATTTTGTCAGATATAAGTATTGCTACCCCAGTTTTTTTTCATTTCCATTTTCTGAAAATTTTTTTCTATCCCTTCACTGTTAGTCTGTGTGAGTCCTTTGTTCTGAGGTGGGTCTGTTGTATACAGCATATATATATGGGTTATCCTTTCTTATCCATTTAGCTACCTATGTCTTTTGATTGGAGTATTTAATCCATTTACATTTAAGGTTATTATTGATAGGTACTTGTTTGTTGCCATTTTTATTCTTTATGCCCATATTCCTTCCTTGTTTTCTATTTCTTCTTTCTACAACAGTCCCTTCAGCATTTCTTTCATTGCTGGTTTGGTGGTAATAAACTTCCTTAGCCTTTTTTTTTGTCTATGAACTCCTGATTTTACCTTAAATTTTGAATGATAGCCTTGCTGGATAGAGTATTCTTGGATTTAGTTTCTTGCTTTTCATCACCTTGTATACTTCATTCTCTTCCTTGTGCCCTGTTTTTTTTTTTTTTATTGAGAAATCATTTGATAGTCTAATGGAAGATCCCTTGTAGGTCACTTTCTGTCTCTCTCTTGCAGCTTTTAAGATTCTTTATTTGTCTTTTATGTTTGACAATTTAATTATGATGTGTCTTGGTGTAGGTCTTTTTGGGTTCATCTTGATTGGGACTCTGTGCTTCTTGGACTGTGTGACTTTTTTCTTCCCCAAATGAGGGAAGTTTTCTGTCATTATTTCTTCAATCAGGTTTTCTATCCTTGCTCAGCTTCCTCTCCTTCTGGCACCACTATTATGTGTATATTGTTTCATTTCATGTTGTCTCAAAGCTCCTTTAGACTCTCCTCCTGCTTTTTAATTCTTTTTCCAGTTGCTGCTCTACTTGGGGTTTTTCTACCTTGTCTTCTAACCCACTGATTTAGTCCTCAGCTTCTTGTAGTCTACTGTTGAAGCCTTCCATTGTTTTCTCTATTGCAGCTATGTCATTCTTCATTTCCTCTTAATTCTTACTCATGTTGATATATTTCTCAGCTCCTTATAATTCTCATTGAATTGTAAGTAATTCTCATTCAGAGGTTTGAGCATCTTTGTACCTATTACTCTGAATTCTTTCTTTTACAATTACTTGCCTCAATTTCATTTAGTTCCTTTTCTGGTGATTCCTCTTCATTCCTTTGGGGTTATTTCTTTGTCTCCCAATTTTTGCTCTCCTTTTGTATTTGTTTCTTTGTCTTAGATCAAACTGCTGTGCCACCAGATTTTTTTGGGGTGGTCCTATGTGGTAGGTGTTTTGTGGGCCCCAGTGGTGCAATCTCTCAGATTTCCTTAACTGGGTGTTTTAGGAAAGCCCCATACTTAAGTTATTTAGTTTTTTCCTGATGTATTTGGGTTTTTAATGTTATTGTCCCCTTTTTAGATGGAGTCTCCTCACAGGTTGTCTGACTATGTGTCTCACCCCCGACCTTATTGTGTAAGCTGTTGTGGATGTGCTCAGGGTCCAGGCTCCCATGGTAAGGGTTGCCTGCAAGGTCCCACTGGCATGCAAGTCATGGGGTCTCAGATCTCATGGCTGGGGTGGTGTGACTCACTGGTGGGTCCGGAGCCCACAGCAGGGTGGCGTGCAACTCTGTGACTCACTGCAGGGTCCTGAAGCCCTTGGCCAGGGTGATGTGCATTCTGCAACTCTTTGTGGGGGTCCAGGAGCCATCTTCCAGGGTGGTGTGCACTCTGGGATTCACTATGAGGGCCCGGGAGTCTACAGCCTGCTTGTCCTGGGTCCCAGAGCCTGCAGCTTGGGTGGTGCAACTCTGGCCGGGTGGCATGCATTCTGTGACTTACCATGTGGGTCCTAGAGCATGCGGCTACATCTAAGTTTTTGATGTGTGTTGCCAAATGGTCCTTCCAAAGTGCTGCATCAAGTTATTATCTTGAAAACAGTGAATATTATTATTTGCCAACTGGTAGGTGATAAGTGTCAATTGTCTTACTTTGAGGATGAAAATTTCTTCATGAAATAACAGGCTATTTGATTTCTGCTTCCCTGCAATGCCTGCTCAGGGCCATAGGTCCAGAAGAAATTTGTTGCTGAAAAGTAACCCCCAATTTATAGATTGAATCAAGTTATACAGTTTAACCTTATAATAGCAGAAAATATGCCTCAGAAATTCCTAAGGGATTTCGTTCTCTAGCAAAATGAGGCCTGATTTGGAACTGGCTTCTGTATGTCCCTGTAATCCATTTTCTTCCTCTCAGCATCTTACTTTTCTTAAATCCTTTTTGGGATCTCCTGCAAGTATATTTGAATTTTTGAGGTTCTGGTCTTCTTTCCCTTTCTTTTTAGTAGTTTCAAAATCCCAAAGCCCCTGTTAGCACGTTTGTTCTGGACTTAGTCTAAACCTCTTAGACTATCTTCTGAGGTGTCACTAATTTCATTGTTAAGAACCAGCAATCACTAATAATAACACATTATACTTGTATGTCTGTGAGGTCCTTTCCAATTTTTGACTTAGATTGAGTTTCAAGGTTTCTAATTATATGACTCTTCAGCTTATATAGCACTTTTGTGTTCCTTTATCTCATGTGATCTTTATGACTCTGTGATCACTTGTGAAAGAGGAAAGGGGAAAGGTATTCTCAGCCTCATTTTATAGCAGAAATAAAAACTCCAAAAGATTAAATGAATTGCCCAGGATCATCCAGTTAATGGTGACAACACCCTTTGACTCTGAGTTCTATAATCTTTTAAGGTTCCTAGATGGAAATAGAAATGTTTATATTTTTAATTTTATGCTGTAATCTGTAAGATCCTCTAATTCTTTGCCAATTGTGTGCATTTTGGGTAAGTATTTCCAGAACTTGCATACCATTTTAAAGAAGGAAATTCATGATTTTCTACTAACATGTCAAAATGTAAAATTCAGGTTAAAATTGAGTTTCCATGATTTATTCTTTTTTTTTTAAAGCCTGTAATTATATGTAAACTCAATAGAAGGTTAATTGTGTGTATATTTTGGCCTCATTTGATAGGAATTTAAAATTCATTTTGTAATGCATTTATTATAAAGTCAAGGAAGAAAAGCATACATAAGGAAACACATACCAATAAGGTACCCTAGTACAGATGTCTTTCGAAATTCGTTAGCTATTACTGATGATGCTCCAGTTAGAACCATGCAGTTAGAACCACGTGAGAAACATGTTAGCAGGGAATCAAGAGTGGAAAAAAATATATCTGCTTTTTATTAAGACTTGAAGTGTGTTATAATTAGGTTGAGTTTCTACCCAGGCAGCCCCCTTCATGCTGACATCTGCAAAGGGTATATAAAACTGTGTTGAGGTGTTATTTTCTGTGGCTATGTGGACACATGTTAATCAGTTAAAAACCAAGTTTTGGGGAGTCTTTCATGTTGATTCCTGCTAAGCCATGCTGAGAAAGCTTGTGCTTCCCCCATTAGGGGCATTCCCATGTGTTTTACTATTGGAAAAGAATAGAAATTCTTTAGAGCAGTTATAAATGTTTGGTCTTTGATCTGATACAAATCAATGACAATAGTATAGATTTGAGAATGTCAGAATCCACAGCAGATTTATAGTTGTGTGAAAATATAAGTAGTAAAATGCTCCTTTTAAGTTAAGTGATGAAATGTCATGTTCAAATACATCTTTTTATTTGATTGGTAATGTTCTAAATGGAAAGTTAAGCTTAGACTTAGTCAAAGAGAAATGCTCCCACCTATAAAAACTGTTTTTCAAGTATTTTTAATAGATGAATTTATTATTACGTACTTTAATTGGCTGCCATATTTTACAAGTTATTAACAATTGATGTACTCCTTGTCAGACAACAGAAAGATCAGAGTTAATGGAACCAAGGAACCCATAGAGTTTAAATCGAATCAATGGTTTGGAGCAGCAGTGAGAGCTCACAGAGGGAAAGTGGTGGTGAGTATGAATCATGGGCTGTGGGGTGGCTCTGGAATTAAGTGTACACAGAAATGCTTTAAAAACTCATATTTACAAAAACCCTTTCATGCAAGAACATGTCAGACTTTCAATGATAATCTTATCAACATTTTAAAACAGAAATTGAATACTTAAAATTAAATAATCTATTTTGCATTTTTAAACCATATGAAATAAAGCTTTTTTTCCAGAAGATCAATGAGATATTTTCAAATATTTCAAAAACAACTAAGGAAGATAGGAAAATAATAGCTCCACCTTACAGAGGTACATTGAAGAGCTGATTAAAAATAGACCAGAAAAATAGGACTACTATTATTAGAATTCATTAAAAGTTAATCTATGGTGGTGTCATTGATCCTTTTTAGGACTAAAGGAAAGCTTTATTTAAAAATATAACTACTACTTACATGGTTCTCTGAGTACATTAATACTTTTTAAAATAAAATAAAAATCTCACTGCCAAATAGCTTTCAACTTTAAAATGCTATGACTTCATGATTCTATTCTCTTATTATTCTGAGCAATAACATATGTCTAAATTATTGAGAAATAAATGACTGCATTAAGCTAACCGTAATTTTTTTTGTTTTGTCAGGGGACTTTTAAAAATTGTTGGCTTTAATTTCCTTACAATAATAAAGCAGTAACTTTGGCTTTTAGGATTTTTTTAAAAAGCTGTTTACATTATGATTTAATAAAGAAAATGCCTTGCTTTATTTGGTGTGTGGTTAACCCCCCAAAAGATTTTGACATAAAACAGGTAATATATAAAATATACATAGCCCTTTCTAGTTACAAACCTAGCGTTTACAATATGCTCTTGTATTGTATTTGCACTGATATAGTTCTCACATTCCAGAATTGGTAAAAAAATTTTTATACTTTAGTGGTGTATGATTTATGTGGATTACTATTGAAAAGCTAGTTCTATCTAATAAACTATTGGAGGTTAATTTTTTTGTGGTGTTCTGTATTGATTCTTTAAGTCTTAAAAATATCTGTAACATAATTGTTGTGCTTTTATTCGATAATTGTAGATGCCTTCAGAATCATTGAAAAGAAAATCGTATGCTACATTTATAATAAAAGTGATTAATTATGAGGCATGCTTACATTTTCAAGGAAAATGCACAGGAAATAGGATAATATAGAATATATTCAAGTTAATTTTTTTTTTTTATTTGAGCACTGAACTTAGCAGAATCAAGAATTAAATTCTACTCTAAGTGACATTTTTAGAACTTCAAATTTTTGGCAAACAGAAGTATCATTTTGAAGATTATAGGTATCAAGTTGTACATATTAAGTTTGGGTCAAAGCTTAAATATATCACATCAGTTTATTTAACACTAGAGGCCTGGTGCACAAAAATTGTGCACTGGGAGTGGGGGGGGGATCCCCTCAGCCTGGCCTGTGCCCTCTTGTAGTCTGGGACCCCTCAGGGGATGTCCACCTGCTGGCTTAGGCCTGCTTTCCCCAGGTATCGGGCCTTAGCCAGCAGTCAGACATCCCTCTCGTAGTCTGGTGCTCTCATAGTCTGGGATCCCTCACTCCTTACTGCCCACCTGCAATGGAGGCAGGAGAGGCTCCTGCCACTGCCGCTGCACTAGCCAGCCATGAGCCCGGCTTCTGGCTGAGCAGCACTACCCCTGTGGGAATGCAGTGACCACCAGGGGGCAGCTCCTGTGTTGAGCATCTGCCCCCTGGTGGTCAGTGCGCATCATAGCAACTGGTTATTCCACCGTTTGGTCAATTTGCATATTAGGCTTTTATTATATAGGATCAGTGTGAAACTGAGCAGCTATAAAAAGAATAACATTTTAGAGTTGACAGCAAGCAAGCACTGGAAAGAATTGTCAAGATATTTAAATACCCTATGGTGACAGGGAAGGTGAGGCCAGCTGGCACAGTATGGAATCACATAGGTGAATGCTTGCACTGCTCAAACCTCACCATTCTCACCTTATGTTCAATGTATTAACCACAGACTGTGTCAGTTCACTAAGAGGGCCCTAAGACAAGGGATCTTAAGAGGATTTCATATATCTTCTTTCACATTTGGTATCCTTTCAAATACCACGCTCGTTAGAACCTAAGCTTCTGAAGAAGCAACCAGAATGTTCCATACATGAATCATGTTTTCCTTATTGTTGTTTAAATTAATTGTTGGTTTGCCATGAATAAAAGCCAGTAAATGAAAAATAAAGCCAAGAACACTGTGATAAAAGCTTAGTGTAGCCAAAAGAAAGTCATTGTTTTTAAAAGTCTTTAGATATACCTTCAATGATAAACCAGGAGAATCCACAAAACAGAGATTTACAAACTTGTCTGCATCCTTTGATCTGAGAGTAATTTCATTTAATGTGACAAAAAACAGAACTTGTTCTCATTTTAAGATGTCACACTGATTAATTCACTGTTTAAATAACCATTTGCTTTTATGTAGACCCAATTTTTAAAAAGTGTGAGTTCTTTGCTGTAATGAAATATTTACTTTTGCCAAGTTACTTTTATATAATTGAAAATCATCTGGGAAAACTGCATTTCTTTGTATATGTTTAATTTGCTCCAATTCTATGGTGCATTAATGTTAACAAATTGGCTTTGTAAATTTAATAAACTGTGACTACTGAAGTACTCATTAGCATGCTGGAGGCCAATTAATTCACCTGATAATTAACATAGTTTGTCACAGATTTAGGCATATTACTCAACAAGTCAAATCAAATCATAGTATGGGGAACCTACATCAAAAAAACATTGCTTTTCTTTGATGTTTCACAGGCTTGTGCTCCCTTATATCACTGGAGAACTCTGAAATCCACACCAGAAAAGGACCCAGTTGGCACGTGCTATGTAGCAATTCAGAATTTCAGTGCATATGCTGAGTACTCTCCTTGTCGGAACAGTAAGTTATTTTTATTCCTTGAAACTGAAATTTAGCTCAAGAGCTTTTCTGTGGTAGACAGTGCAGGTAATGTCAAAATGCCGATGGGAAAGAAAATGAGACGGGGGTAAAGTTCACTACAGTTTTACAAGATGCCTTGCTGTAACATGAGGGCCAAGTCATGGGGTTCTGCTGATCCTCTTCTGTGTTTTAGAAAATTTCTGGGTTTTAGATATTTTGCGGTAGAATTGATTGGGTCCTTATCTTAGGCCTTAAACCAGCCGTGGGCAAACTACGGCCCGCGGGCCGGATCTGGCCCGTTTGAAATGAATAAAACTAAAAAAAAAAAAAGACCGTACCCTTTTATGTAATGATGTTTACTTTGAATTTATATTAGTTCACACAAACACTCCATCCATGCTTTTGTTCCGGCCCTCCGGTCCAGTTTAAGAACCCATTGTGGCCCTCGAGTCAAAAAGTTTGCCCACCCCTGCCTTAAACTCTTGCTTGGTATTCAAAATTCACACAACAATCTAAGGAATGCTGACTGCCCACTTCTTAACCACACTAATGGTGTTAGTGAGTAATAATAATAATAATTAATATATATATGCATATATATATATGTATATTAAACAGAGCCACTTTAAAATGGAGCCAGAGCTGCCATCCCAGAGGAACTGCCTTACACTTCTATGCCTCAACCCTTTGGAATGTTAAAACGGAAAAATACCCTGTACACTGGGCCTAAAGCAACATTGTGTCCCAAAGAACTGTTTGCAAAGATAACAAGAAAGCAGATATTATGACTACTTGACTGATGGCTACTGGATTGAAAATTAAAAACATTGTTTAGAATTAGCGTCACTCTGTTAGCTGTGCTGTGCCATTTATGCGTTCCTTCTATTTATGTAATTGCTCCCCTTCCCTTTCTCATAAATACCCCTAGCCTTTGTTTCCTAATCAGAACAATATTTGGGCTTTTGCCTGAACCAGTAATTCCCAAATAGCTATTGCTTTTTACCTTAAGTAAATGCTTGTTGCCCGTCACTTTGTAAGGCCTTGTATTTTTCGGTGAACATTCATGCTTGGACCTGGGGACACACTGCATGCCAGTGGCTGTCCAGCCTGTGCTCTCAATGGCTGTTGCTTTCTTTGGCAGCTGTGTACGCAGGTTATCTGCATGATACAACTTTCTCCTCTAGGTATCTAATCCTCGTTTTTTCAAAAAGACTCTCTGTAAGTAGGGTCCTCATCTCATTTGGTAGTTCTAGGAATCTTCCAGTGCCTTCTCCGGGGCACTGCTGTTTAATCACTTCATCTTGGTGGCATACCCGAGGACATTGGGACATTATTAGTGATTGTTTCATACACTCAGAGTCCTTGTGCACTTTTCAATTTTTCTGTGTATCCCATAGGTCATTGGAATTTATCAAGAAGCAACCAAAGGATTTTTATCCTTTTTCTTGATAATTCGCAAGACCACATTGAGGAAAATGGCATTAGAAAGATAATTCTAGTGGATGGTTTCAGGGTATTGATTTTTTAAAACTCAATCCTAAATTAGATTCCCAAAACTATAAGTAAAATTTCCCTATTTCAGTTACTATTTTTAAAATTCAAGATTTCTTTAGACAAGATAATGAGCAAGTATCAGAAATAAATCCGTGAAGATAAAGAATGGACAGTGACAAAAGAAGGTTAATAAAGGGACTGCTGAGAGTTAGAGATCTAAATGATTGGGCGTGGAACAGCTAACTTTGATGGTTTTGGGTGAGGATTTTGGCACGAAAAAGATTATGATTTCATGTTTTAAAATACCAAAATAAGTTATCCACTTTCTTATATCATGACAAATGTCAGCTGAATGAATATCAGTGAAATTAGGATTTCACTGCCCTGGCAGGCATGGCTCAGTGGTTACGAATGCCGGCCTGCAGATGAAGGGGTTGAGGGTGAGGTTCCAATCAATGGCACATACTGGGTTCATTCTCTGGGGTGAGGGGCAAGTCCAGGAGGCAACCAATCAATATGTCTCTCTCACATTGATGTTTCTTTCCCTCTCTCTCCCCCCCTTCCCTCCCTCCTTCCCTTTCACTGTCTCTAAAAAAATCAGTGGAAAAAAGTGTCCTCAGGTGAGGATTAACAAAAAAAAAATTGGATTTCACTTTAAATGATTTTAAAAGAGGGATTTCTTATAGATAATAAGAATCAATTATGTAATCATTCAACACATGTTTACTGAACCCATTGAGCACTAATTATTTTATGTTTAGGGATTAAGGCACAGAAAAAGAGAAAACAAACCCCTGTCTTTAAGAAACTTACATTGAGGGGCGGGAGGGGACGACAGACAAAAAATATGCAAATAAATAAGTTCAGATCCCACAATTCTACTTCTGAGTATTTATCTGAAGGAAATTAAATCACAATATTGAAAAGACATCTACACCCCAATGTTCACTACAACATTATTTATATTATCCAAGACATAGAAATAAACTTAGTGGTAATCAACAGATGAATGGATAAAGAAAATATGGTATACCTACACAATGGAATATTACTCAGCCACAAAAAGAAGAAAATCCTGCCATTTGTGACAATATGGATGGACCTGGAAGCCATTATGTTAAGTGAAATAAGCCAGACAGAGAAAGACAATACTGTATGGTCTCATTTATATGCAAAATCTTAAAAAATAAAACCAGACTCACAGATACAGAGAGCAGATTGGTGGTTGCCAATGGTGGCGGTGATGGAGGGAGCTAAAAGGGTGAAGGTTGTGAAAAGGTTCAAACTTCCAGTTATAAGATAAATTCTAAGGATGCAATGTACAACATAATTTGTAAATATAGTTAACAATACTATAGCATATGTTTGAAAGTTGCTAAGACAGTATATCTTAAAAACTCTCATCACAAGAAAAACAAAAAACCATACTATGTGTGGTGATGGCTGTTAACTAAACTTATTGTGGTGATCATTTCACAATATATACATATATCAAATTATGTTGTACACCTTGGACTAGTACAGTGTTATATCAAGTTTATCTCAATAAAAATTTTTAAAGAATAAATAAGTTTCTAATATAATCTCAAGTAGTGAAGAGTGCTACCAAGAAAAATATAGCAAGTCAAGAGAGGGGAGTGACATGGCCTGGGTGGAGAGAGGAACTTTTAACAGGACCATGGGAAGGGCTCTCTTCGCAAATGCCTGTGGAAGTAGGGAAATGGGGCGCTTTCCAGGCATCGGCTACAGCAAGAAGAGGTGTATTTTGTGCCATGTTCCACTGAAGGTACTGTGTTCCTGCATTCAGTAAGAAGTTGTTGTTATTAGCTATAAAAGTCAGGTAGAAAGATAAATCCCTAACCTACCCAGAAAATAAATGGTAGAGCTGAGATTCAATACTGAACTTGTTTCATCAATTTTTACACCTCTCCACATCATACCTCTCATGATTTACTAAAGATACTGTCAGCAGCCACGGGAACGGCACCAGGTGTTAAACTGATGGGATCAGACCAGACTTGGTTCAGCAATTTCAGTACTTGAGTTCTGGCTAGGAAAGAATTCAGAGCCAAGACTCAAACTGTAAGAGAACATTTACTTAGAAAGTCATAGAGGTGGAAGAAATGGCTCAGGAAACAAGTTACAGAGGCAAAAGAAGGGCCCTTGGAGTTTGGAGTTCAGGAGTGAGGAAGGTAAAGGTGACTCCCTGTGGGGAAGGAGAGAGAAAGGCGGAGGGGGCAGGCACTGTTGGGCTTCCAGGAATGAGAGCGCCTGGGTCCTCTGTCCTAAGGGTGGAGATTTTAGGGCAGGTCCCAGGGGAAGGATTCAATAGAATATTCAGCAGTTTTCCAGGCGTGCCCTTTCAGGGCAAGGGGTCCTTATTCAATGCAGCTGGTCCTGAGGTCAGCCTCTTTGCTTGTCTGGTTTTGCTTCTTTTCTGGGTCTGGGGCTGAAATACAACTGAGGCCTAGATGTTATGTCTAGGGAGGAAAGGTCAGGGGGTCTAAACTGCCTCCAGTGTTATGCTAGGGAAGGAAAGGTTACCCTGGGGTCGAGGTCCAAACCTCCAATTGTCCGGTGCTAGACACCGGGCTTTCTGCCCTGGTGACCTCCTGTACCTGGCCATGCTCTGCTCATGTCTATCTAACTGCCAACTACAACACTTCCCCATAAGAGTAAACTATCCTCGCTAAAATGCTGAGTCCATCCTTCACAGGTGTCTTGCCTTGATGATATATTCTTCTAACTAATGTACGGGATAATCATTTGTAAAATTGGTCACTGCTTTTTGTTCTGCCATTTTCCCCCTCACCTTATAATATGTTTATTGATTTTAGAGAGAAGGAAAGGGAGGGAAAGAGAAAGAGAAAGAGAGACATCGATCCGTTGCCTATTGTAGGCACCCCAACAGAGACTGGACTGCAACCCAGGCATATGTCCAGACTGGGAATTGAACCCTTGACCTTTCAGTATACAGGACGACACTCCAACCAAATGAGCCACACCAGCTAGGGCCATTCTGCTTTTTTATCTGACTGCCTATATGATGAGAGAGCTCAGATTAAAATTCAGCATGTGGCATCTAGATGTGTGGGGAATTCATTTGGTTTCACATCCTCCTACTAGTCTTTCTCCAACCATGAGTATTTCTTCTCCCACCAATCCACCTAAGGAGCAGACTTCCTGTCCTCAGGAGTTCACAGTTTATTAGCACAAAGCCAGCTTGTTCATGAGCATATGGTCAATCTCGCAGAACAGGAACATCAGCAATATTATTTTCAAAAAACAGAATTTAAAGAGTGCTCTCATGTTCATTCTACACCACAAACCCCCTCCACTGTTAGTGTGAGCAATGTGGACGCTAATAGGCTCATTCATATTAATGGCAGGCTGATAGCTCCTACTTTAGTCATTCATAAATCAGTTGGAGATGGTTAACACACATCCTTCATTCTACTTTGAAAGCCAACAAAGAATAGTGAACAGTCAGCATGATTCCCTTGACC